ATAGGAATGTATATGATCAAAGACAGGTAAAAGAGTAAATAATGAAATAACATAGTACTTCTGACGAGACATATATATATGTATATTATATTGTCGTATATGACAATATAATAATAGAATACCAATTACAGCTTACGCTTATAAAGAGATTGAAAATAATAGATCAGATACAGGTTGTTTGTTTAGTTTAATATCCATTTATTGCTTACATACATTTTCAGACTATCTATCCGTAAAATACTCTCTATACAAAAACGATAACGTTTTTTATAAAAAAAAATAATACCGAAAGCAAACTATAAAAACGTTGTATTTGTTTCTTGTAAATCCCAAAGCTACACAATGCGCTGTGTTGTGCTCACCACGGGTATCGAAACCCTGTTTTTTCTAGCGTCATAAGCCTTCAGACTTATCGCTAAGCCTCGGGAGGGATAAAAATAACAAAGAACATTTCTCTAACAGTTTATCGAAACACCACGTGTTTTGCTTCTTTTCTTTTTTTTTCTTTTTAGAATTTTACGTATTAAACGTATACATGGTGTCCTCCTAATCCCTTTAACCTCTAGGAAAATCACTAGAAATGTGACCAACTCATAAAACGCTCTTTGAAATTCTATACACATCAACACGATAAGCTACAAAAATTGCGTGATTAAAGTAATAAGTTTCCTTACCAATCCACCTGGTGGCGCCACAAACTTAAGCAACTCTAATTAATGACCGTTCATCGTGCTTATTGAACGTCGTGGTCTACTGACAATATACATTCGTAAATGCTTGTTATTTTATGTTCCACTAGGGGGCACTACCACAGAACATGCCGAAATGTTGCTCATTTAAGGTCTTTAAGAATTATAAAATGAAATATTTATGTGTTCATGTCTGACAATTTCTCTTTTATAGCGTCATATTGTAGCTATTGCCTTCTTTTCCAAAATTGCTTTGCAAAAGCTTACATCGCGTAGGACTGGCGGTTATGGTGTTCAACTCGTAACATGTGGGTCGCGGGTTCGAATTTTACCACCAGACATGCTCGCCCTTTCAGCCGTGGTGGCATTATAATGTGACGGACAATTCCATTAATCGTTGGTAAAGAGTATATCCAAAGAATTGACGGTGGGTGGTAATGACTTGCTGCCTTCTCTCCAGTCTATCACTTCAAAATCAGAGATTGGTAAGGACATAACCCTTCGAATAGCTTTGTGCGAAATTCAACTTCCAACAGTAGTAGTGGTGAACCGTGAATTCCACGAAAGTAATCCACTTGTACAGGATGTAGCAAAACGAAAAATAGACTAATCCTGTGCGTCATCCATGGATACTTTCTTTTATTCAGTGAAGAAAGAAAAAAATTCTCGATAATTTACCAAATATTCAATAACTAATTGGGTCAGAATAGCCACATATTATTCAAATAGCTAAAAACAATTTAGGTTACCAGTGATTGAGGCCCGGCATGGCCAGGTGGTTAAGGCACTCGACTCGCAATCTGAGGGTCGCGGGTTCGAGTCCCTGTCACACCAAACATGCTCGCCCTTTCAGCTGTGGGGGCGTTATAATGTGACGGTCAATCCCACTATTCGTTGGTAAAAGAGTAGCCCAAGAGTTGGCGGTGGGTGGTGATGACT